ACTGTGTTTTAAAATGTTAAAAGCAGTTGTCTTAGGGGAGGTAAAAAGAAATTCCTTTAATTATAAAAAGTTCAGTGAATTTTCTGGTGTTATTTGTGGAATCTAGTCTTAACATAATTAGAATCACACCTCATAAAATTAAACCCCTTAGGGAGAAAGCCAATGTTAATAAATACCAGTGGTTTCTATTTGTTTCCTCATACAAACAAGCTTTTGAAGAGACTGTTTTGCTTTATAGAGCAGAATCTGGGCTTTGAAGTTAATTCTTGTTAATGTTCAACCTTTCACCATCATCAACAACTTAAAAAGCAAACTTGCTTAGTATGGAGAAACAACAGTGTTTACATACCTTGGATCAATATTTCTTTGAGATGAACACCAAATCACAAAAAGGATGAAAGAATATCCCTTGGTGAACATTCTCCACCCACCATTCCCTAAGCTGTTTGTTTTCTACTTTAGCCTGTGAAAGCTTCAAGAATTCTAATAGTTATTTCCTCAAAGGTGTGCAAATAAGTTAATATATCCTTTTTGCAGTTAAATGAAAATTTTCTTTCTTTAAGAAAGTACTTCCTGGGTCTATCATTAATGAATAAGTTTACCATTTTCTGAAATTTTCATTTATTTAATGCTCATCATGGACCACTGTGTTAAACATTATCTCAATCTTTACAATATGAAGTATTATTATTATTATGCCCAGTTTATATTTAAGGTGCCCTGGTGCTGCAGTAGTGAGAGTGCTTGGCTGCTAACCAAAAGGCTGGTGGTTCAAAACCACCAGCTGCTCTCAGAACAAAGCTGTGATGGGCTGCTTCTATAAAGATTATATATAGTGGAGAAGTTCCAATCTGTCCTACAGTGTTGCTATGAGTTGGAATTGCCTTGACAGGCATTGGATTTGGTTTGGTAATTTACTTTTGAGAATACTAAAGCTTAGAGGTAAGAGATTAACTTGCCCAAGGTCACAGTTAATATGTGGTGGCAGAGCTGGGTTGAAATGCAGGTCTGTCAGATCTGGCTCTGAGAAAACATGCCTAGTGAAGGCATCAATAAGGACTCGTTAGAAAGTTTTCATAGACTTCAACTTGAGCTATCAAGTGATTTGCACCATGTAAAAAGTATTTTTTATGGAATTTGGTATCTACTTTGATGGTTGAGGGTTTGTAGTGTATCTGTTCTAAATTTTTGAGAATAGCTGTGAAACTGATCACTAGACTGTGTTTCAAGTGTCAGTGAGAGTTTTTGATAGGATGCATATTAAAGTAATTTAATTTTTAAGATTCAGTAATGGGATGGATTGAGTATTTTTGAGTAGAAGGAAGCATGAAATAGTGGTTTGTCAATGAAACTGTTAAGAACCAAGAGGAAGATGGCCTGTAATTGCATCTAAAGGCTACAACTAATCTGACTGCACTTGTGGTTTAGGATATATCATTTAGGAAATGTTGTTCTTAGTGCCTTGACTCATGACAACTCCATACACAACAGAACAAAACACTGCTCAGTCTTGTGCTACTCCCAGGACCGCATGCTGATCAGACTTGTGATCTAGAAATTTTTGGAAGTAGATCACCAGGCCTTTCTTCCTGGTCCTTCTTAGTTTCAAAGCTTTGCTGAAACCTGTTCAGTATCATAGCAACATGTAAGTCTCTAAGGACAGACTTATGTCCTAGGCATTCTGCTAGGCACTTTCTTAATTGCTCCAAACCATAGTTTATACATAAAAGAGCTGGGATTCAAATTCAGGTCTGTTTGATTCTGTTGTTGTTGTTATGTATAGTCGAGTCAGACCCAACTCATAGTGACCCCTCCTTGGGTTTCCGAAGCAGTATCACTACGGAAGTAGATTGCCCCATCTTCCTTCCGAGGAGGGGCTGGTGGGTTTGAACCGCCAGCCTTCTGGTGAGCAGTCAAGTGCCTTAGGCACTATGCTACCAGAGCTGCTCTGTTTGATTCTAGGAAGTGGTATGCACAAGGTACAGTTTGGGAATCCAACCCAGGTCTCATGCACTGAAGGTGAGAATTCTACCACTGACACCAATGTCTCCCCATACAGGAAATAGTAGGTTTTAATGAAAAGGATATGAAACATAAACCCTACATTTATATTTTAATAAACTTTGTTGTGTCTATATTATATTTATTATTCTTCCTAAATGCTTAACTCAGGAAACACACACACACATGAGCACACACATATGCACACCCCAAACAACAAACAATTTAATAGTATGGCTTATGGAAAGAAAGTAATACTAACTTCACTCTATCAGAGTTCCTCACTTTTACCTATAAAATTCTCTAACCCTTCCCTCCTCAAAGATGGTGAAGGAATAAATGAAAAAAGAACGTCTTTCAACTGCTAATTGTCATATTTCATTACTTATAGTAGAGTTTTTTTAAAAAAGAATCTTTGTTTTTTCAAATTTAGAAATAACCTGCTTTGCTCATTCATCTGACTATAGTTTTAACCATACCATAAATACAAGAAAGCTTAGTACTCCAAATTGGAGCCCAAATAACAGACTTTTGATTATTTTTAGTATGGTGTAATCTATGTTCAGTCTCTCCTCACTATGGGTCACTAACATTTACAGAAAGACGACTTATGTCCTAGACATTTCTATCAAGCACTTTCTTAATTGCCCCAAACCATAGGTCATACATAAAAGAGCTGGGATTCAAATTCAGGTCTGTTTGATTCTAGGGTACTTTCTGCTATATTACATCAATTGCTGACTGTAGTTAAAATTTTTAGAACTCCTTTGTCACTTTTTAGCTGTAAAGCATTTCACATAATATGCAAAAAACAAAACAAAAACAAAATAAATAAAAAAACCTTTACTTTAAAATTCTTCAAGTTATTTAAAAATAGTTTGAGGTAATTTTGCTAGTCATTCCACTATCCATTTCTCACTTTCCTAATCTCTAATTCCTTTCACTTGACCATCTTTCACTGTACAACAGATTATCCTGCCTTTCAACTCTTTTGGTATGTGTGTGTTCCTGTATATATACACCTTGGCTGATGAGAACAGAAGGCAGTTGGGGCTGGTTGAGAAAGTATGTTTTGCCACGAGCAAATGGTAGAAAGAACACCACTAACATCCATAGATAAGTTCTGTGGTAGTTAAATTTGTATGTCAACTTGGCGGGCCTGGTTGAGTGGCTGGGCAGTATTCCCCACGTGGAATACTGGTGGTAGTTATTCCCCATGATGAGATTGGCAACCGTCTCTATAGTGGGATCTACCACAAGCAGCTGAGTAGCTGCCTTTGGGATGTGGTCTGCTTCCTGTACATAAGGAGAAGCCTTGGGAATAGTCTCTAGCATATGGCACGCTTGGATCCTGCATGTAGTCGTGTTGCTGTTCAGCAGCCTGCCGTGCTCTGTTGACCTTGGGACTTACAATGGACTTGAATTAATGACCAGCCATGTAATTTGGTAATATCGGGACTGTGCCGTTTTACTTGTCAACCTTGGGCTTGGCAGCCTCAGCCTCCAGCAGCTGTCTGAGTGAAGAAAAACCTTGAGCTTCAGTGAGCCGGAAGCTGGAGGCAGAGCTGAAGCCCAAGGTCGAGGGGCTTTCACCCAGCCCCTAGAGCCTGGCACTCTGAACTTGGACTTAAAGCCTCCAAATTGTAAGAGAATGAACTCCTGTTTGTTAAGGCCATCCCATTTGTGGTATATTTCTGTCAGAGCGGCACTAGGTAACCAGAACAGAATATGGTACTGAGAGAGTGGGGTGCTACTCTGACCGATACCTATAATGTGGAAACAGGAATGGAGTACGTCCTTGACCTGAGACCCTGGCAGAGAGACCCCAGCATATGGCATGAGAGATGACAGGACAGAGCCAAGAGACTGGCAGAGAGATACCAGCAGAGAGACCAGCATGAAAGACGGCAGTAGCAGAGCCCAGAGACCAGCATTAAACAGAAACAGGCTTACCAGCCCATGGAGGAGAAAGCTGGGTGCAACTGGGTAGGCAGTTTCCTGGCGGAGTGGGTTGCCTTCGGGCATTAATTGCTGAAGAGACTGGCATAAAATGGAGTAGCAGGTTGGCCAGCCCATGGAGCAAGAAAGCTAAGTGTGCTTTAGGCATAAAAATTTCTGACGGAGTGGGTGGCCCTTGGGCATTAAGTGGCAGAAGCGAGAGACTAAGGAAACGGGAAGCAGAGCTGCCTCAGCCTCAAAGGGTAGGACCATGGCCTTTGGGGATGGAACCACCATAACTCCCAAGATTTCAAAGAGTTAGACCTTCACCAACTCAGTTCTGGCATGTGGGGCTGCTTGTTCATGTGAGCTAGTGGGAGGAGCCATAGCCACTACCCAAGAGAGAGGGGGCAGGGTTGCCATGCCCAAGAGGGAGAGGAATGGGACCCGCCAGGCCAAGGGGGTGAGGTCACCATTTAGAGGACCTAGGGGATGGGAGCCACCTAGTAAGAGAGATCTGTACAGATGCCAAGCTGACAAGGGGTGGAATTGTGGTAGTTAAATTTGTATGTCAACTTGGTTGGGTCTGATTGAGTGGCTAGGCAGCTGATGGTAGTTATTTCCCATGATGAGACTGGCAATCGACTCCATGGTGGGATCTACCACAAGCAGCTGAGTAGCTGCCTTGGGATGTGGTCTGCTTCCTGTATATATGGAGAAGCCTTGGGGATAGTCTCCAGCATATGGCACGCTTGGACCCTGCATGTAGCTGTGTTGCTGTTCAGCAGCCTGCCATGCTCTATCGACCTGGGGACTTAAAATGGACTTGAATTAATGACCAGCCATGTGATTTGGTAATATCGAGACCGTGCCTTTTTACTTGTCAACCTTGGGCTTGGCAGCTTCAGCCCAAGGTCGAGGGGCTTTCACCCAGCCCCTAGAGCCTGGCACTCTGAACTTAAAGCCTCCAAACTGTAAGAGAATGAACTCCTGTTTGTTAAGGCCATCCCATTTGTGGTATATTTCTGTCAGAGTGGCACTAGGTAACCAGAGCAAGTTCTTTAAGTCATATGTTAAGAGAAAAATTATTTAAGTTTGCTTTATTTTTCCATCAAATCAAGCACTAGCTACCAGTAATAGTTAATTTATTTTTGCCTTCCAAATGTTAACATGGTTTAGCATCACCTTATCAATAACCAAATAATAATTCAAACTAGGTCCCAGTGGTTATGTCCACATCTAGATTGTTCAGGTGATCAGGAACTCTTTTATTTGTTTGCTTTAGCTTTTAGTTCTTGGTTATATCTATAAAGAAAAGAGAAAGAAAAATAATCATCAACCATAATAGAAAAATTTATAAGAAGGGAATGGAAAGCCATCTCCTCTTTCCCAGTAGTCAGGAAGCTATGTGGTTGTAAATACTATCCCCAGGCACTTTAAGCAGAACAGGCTGAAGGTACAGTGAACCAAGGTGTGAATCTGGTTTGTTTCAAAAAAAAAAAAAAAAAAAAGATCCCAAATGCCAAAAAGTTTTAAAAGCTTAACTGACATATCCAAAAGTAGTATCATTATTATAATATGACAAAACATTGGCCATTTCAACATTTTTCACATGTACAATTTAGTGACATTGATTATGTTCATGTTGTGCCACCATCACCACTTAAAAGCATTATTTTAGGGAATATTTTCATTCCTAAACTACATAAGAATGTAACAAATGTGAACATATAGATAAAATTTAGCAAAATGTGGTCATTTAGAACTTTTAATTTTACACTTACAAAGCAACTTTCCTGAGCATTAACTAAGAGTGCCTAATCATTGAAAGTAAAATTCTGTGATGCAGGCAAGCTACTGGGTTTAACAGGTTATTAAACATTTAAGTTTCTTAAAACTAAGGACTGACTATTTTCTCAATTCTCATTAATCCAAAGAATTAACCACAAAGCCACAGTATTTCCCATCTACAATACCTGGGGCTCCATTTACTATTCTTTCTAGCTTACAATCGAGAATAATATAAGAACAAAATGGAACTTGGCCCATGAAGCCTACCATACCACCTAGATTTGCCAAAAGCTCTTGCTTTCAACTATTTGGTTGTTTTCACCATAAACTATCTAAATCCCAAATAGGAGTTCAACATTTATTCTAACTAAATCTTCCAATCTGCTGTTGGACCCAAAAGCCAAAAACTAGGTCAAAGTGTATGTGAATATCTGGGATTAGAAATAATAGCACTACATGTGGCACTTTGCTTTCTTTTAGCTCCACAATCATGAGGTTCAAATGAAAAAGGGTATTAGAAAAATATCCTGTGAATAAAATCACAGTGCAAATTTTAATTTTTATTAATCTCTAAAACTAGTGACTAGGCATACTATAGAATGACTGATTTATTTATTCATCTATCCAGAATATGTTAGGTAACTACAAAAGGATTAAATCATAAAGCTACTAGTAAAGCTAGAGATGTTTAACATGAACAAAGCAGAAATGAACTACACTCTACACAACAGATGCCTTCTGAAAGGAAGGTAAATTATCACTTAATATTTTCTATTCTTTTATTGAGATCTTTCCATTTTTTTCTGCCAAATACGGCTGTTATTTACCATATTCGTTTGTCATTTAGGAAGGTTCCGTGGTCAAATTGAAGCCAGAAGCCTTCATCTATGCTCAGTGCACTGCAGTGTTAGTCATTGATAAATAACGTTCATTACTGAGTAAACTATTACGTTTTCAAAATGTCCAGCATTTGTGGGTCACTTTTCAATGAAACCAGTGGTGTCACTCTAACCATCATTTCCACTATTATAAACTATACATTTAAATCCACTTTATTACATACAACAGAAAATGAATGATAAAGATACAGAAAAATGCTTATAAATCACAAATTGCATATGTTGTCTTAATAAAAGATGATATACATTTAGAAAACTCATGTTGTTGTTGTTATGTGCCATCAAGTCAGACCTGACTCATAGCGACCACTCCTTGGGTTGCCGAGGCAGTATCACTACGGAAGTAGCATGCTAGGTATGTCATAATACTTTATATTTTTTTCTATTAGATTACTGTTTCTCAAATTAGGAGATGAAAGTCATCAACACTGGAGTTAGGAAATCAGACTAGTTGCTTCTTACGATAGCCATTAACTATGATTATTATAGGTAACATGAGCAGGCTGATATAATCATCTTCTGAGCCTTTAAAACATACTTAGATGTCAAGAACACCTTCAGATTAAAAACTTGAAAATGACAGCACCAGATGATGTACACAAATGAGGTATTTTTTCCCATAGGCAGTAACATTAAAAATATGGTAATAAAATATTAAGGTAATAAACACTCAAGCATTCTAAGAAATGAGTCATAATAAAAATTACCTTGTGAATACCAAGAAAAAATTTATTTAACTAAAAAAAGCATCCTACCTATGATCTTAAAAGATGTAAAGGCAGTAAGTAAAAACCACAAACTATAATTTAGAAAGCCAATATTCTGCTAATCTTATAATTTGGTTTCTAATGAACAAAACCACAAATTCTTCTGGTAGAATAATCAAAATGATGTTCTCAAACATTTAGAAATATTTAAAATGGGAAAAAAATGAACAGATGAAGGTGAAATAGATAAATTTTAAAAAGCTGAAACTGACAAATTTCTAGAAATGTTTATTAGTGGTAAAGTTAAGTGATAGTTATGTCACCAGGGAAACACTCTCTCAAAAGTGAAAATTTTAACAGCTGTCTAACTTCTGCATCTTTTGCAAAGTTGTGGCTCACTACAGCAGATGGAGGACATTTGAGATGAGAATATACATAGACTACAGGCATACTTTGAAGATACAGTGGGTTCGGTTCCAGATTACTGCTATAAAGTGTGTCTCATGACTTTTGTGGTTTGGGAGTGCATATAAAAGATATGTTTACACTATACTGTAGTCCATTAAGTGTGCAATAGCATTATGAAAAATATTGTGAGAATTACCAAAGTGTACCACAGAGGCATGAAGTAAACACATGCTATAGAAAAAATGCTATTGCTTGATATAGGGTTGCCACAAACCTTCAATTTGTGAAAAACAACAATATCTGTGAAGTGCAATACAATAATACACAATCAAACAATGTATACCTACACACTGTTCCTTTGTTTTTATTCCTATCACACTTGGCCACAAGGCTGCAGGAAGCAAGACTGGCTCAATAATGTTTGTTATAAAAGTTAAAACAGCTGAAATTATAAAATTCTTTCAGAAAATGGCAAAAGTATAATTTCTCAGTATTTTAAATTAGTGAAAAACTTAAACTACAACACTCTCCAGGAGATGAATAAACTGAATAAATCTATTACAACTCTGTGATTACACTGATATTATAACTTATTTGTAAACACACAGACTTTTTTAGAGATGCTAAATTTCTGTTTCAGGTACATTCATGTTTTAGTACTGTAGAGGAATCTCTAAAAAAGAAAATAATTACTATCATCTAGATAAGTGAAGGAGCTCTGGTAGCATAGTGGCTAAAAGCACTTGACTGCTAACCAGAAGGCTGGCGGTTCAAACCC